TTAAGAAAGAACTCGTAACACCCACGGGAATTCATTTGCAAATTTATGGGAATCTGCGTGGAATTTTCAACAAGAAACACTTCGAGTTATTTTAAAGGCACAACCCAGGCAGAGGTTTTTTATAACTCTTCTCTTCGGTCAGAAGTATAGAACCCTAGGGGACAATCACAAATGTGGCGTTCACGTGCACGGAATTCGACCGACAAGAACGCTTTGGGCTTGCAAAGTAAGCTGCTCGAGCTGCAGCGAACGAGCTCTCTTATCAGGCCGTTGTCTGGTGCTCTCTCATCTGATGCGCTCTCTCGCCCCATACTCTCCTCTTCGCGCTTAGTCTCTCGTTCCTTTAGCACAGCCAATTAGGAAGGTGAGTGAGCCCTCAACCTGAGCGTTTTCGACGGATTCTTTTCCTTTTTTCTTCACTGCCGGCCCACTTGGCACCGATACATTCACATTCGTGTGCAAGAGCCACACCAGTGCGATCCTGGGGCATGCCTTTAAGAGGACGCACGGTAAAAAGGTCCAATAGGGGGAATACTTTCTTAGGAGATAGGTGGACCTCGTAAGGGTACGGACCGACACGGGATTCGCATCGTGGCCCCGGCGACTTATTATAGCCTTCCGCGCGGCGCTATTGGCGCAATGGTGTGAAACGCCCCACTCTCGCTATCTGAGCTTCTAGACATTTTGCAAAGAGAGCGTTAGCGGTGAAGAGGGCAGCACCGATGAGATTCGCATCGCTGCGAAGTAAAGTGGGCAAGAACTGGTCCCACTTTCCACCCCGTTCTAGACCGTTTTTCTTGATTTTTTCTTCTTTCGTGTACCACTGTTTCTTAAAAAGTGGTAGAAGTGGGGTTTTGATTGGGTTTTCAATCAGTGAGCTGTTCTTAATATCATTTAAGGACATCGAGGGAGTAGTTGAGAAGACGAAGAACATCCGGCTCCGTGCCCACCTCTTCGTTCCGCAGTCCTTTCTCCCCTAACCCTGACGCCTCGAGATTGGACTGGGCAGGTAAGGTACGAGGCATGCGGTCAGCGTTATCCAACGCGCTGTCGAGAGGACGATGCTAGGAGTAACCCTATACACGCAAGTGCAGAGGGGAATCCGGAGTGCCGAACTACGCCAACGATCGAAGATCAGGGACGCTGCCGTTTTCGCCAAGGAATCGAAGATAAGGTGGGCCGGACACGTCATGCGATTTTGCGATGACCGTTGGACCAGAGCGGTTACCGACTGGATCCCTCGGGACGTCAAACGAACACCTGGACGACCGCCCGGCCAGACTTCTTCACGAAAGCTCTGAACGAAAGGAATGATGGACTTCCGTGTCCCTCGAGCAAGGAGGATCCACTGGACCACCCTAGCACGCGACAGGGACGAATGGAGACGTTGCTGGCGCCCGCTCGAGCAAATCGACGATCAACGGGACGACAGGTGATACAGGTGATACCACTGACCATCTCTCACTCATTTTCAAATGGGCTGCCTTTTCATCGTGAAATCCGCCTTTCTTATGCATCGTGATTTTTTGCTCTATGGAACAAATGCTGGCAATTGAAAGAATTGAACTTCGTGTTTTAATCGCTTTTTGCTAGTAGCGGGGGAAAGCTGCGAAGAAAAGTTGTGAATGGGGAAGGGAGTGTCTAACTCGAATGCTTTCTGTTTCCAAGAAAAGGCCGGAAATAACTGTTGTTACTTTTCGATTGAAGGATGCACAGGACAATTGAATTCCCTGTGAACGTCAAGAAAACTCTTGCCAGGTATCCCGGAAAATAAATTTAAAGTTTTAAGCTCGCGTGGTTACATTTTCACATTCACTTTCCACACATCCTTCATCTAGACTTCCTTATTATTTTGTGTAAGCACAGAATAGCTTGGAATAACAGTGTACTATAAATCACTAGTTTACACTATTCGTCTCTACCGAATAATAACAGCATTACGACACACGCACCATTCATTACTTTACAGCCATAGTACATTTGTTAAAGAGGCGCTGGGTATCGATAAGAACGATCATCACCGACACGTTCTGATATCACTTCATCATACAAACCACAACTTTTGTGTGTTGGAGTGTCAGTCTACACAGGAACTGTGTCAGTCTGACACTCCAACACCACAAAAGTTGTGGTTTATATGATGAAGTGATATCAGAACGTGTCGGTGATGATCGTTCTATCGATACCCAGCGCCTCTTTAACAAATGTACTATGGCTGTAAAGTAATGAATGGTGCGTGTGTCGTAATGCTGTTATTATTCGGTAGAGACGAATAGTGTAAACTAGTGATTTATAGTACACTGTTATTCCAAGCTATTCTGTGCTTACACAAAATAATAAGGAAGTCTAGATGAAGGATGTGGAAAGTTGAATGTAGAAAATGTAACCACGCGAAGCAAACTTGAATTTATTTTCCGTTACCTGGCAAGAGTTTTCTTGACGTTCACAGGGAATTCAATTCCTGTCATTCCTTCAATCGAAAAGTAACAACAGTTATTTCCGGCCTTTTCTTGGAAACGGAAAGCATTCGAGTTGACACTCCCTTCCCCATTCACAACTTTTCTTCGCAGCTTTCCCCCGCTACTAGCAAAAGCGATTAAAACACGAAGTTCAATTCTTTCAATTGCCAGCATTTGTTCCATAGAGCAAAAATCACGATGCATAAGAAAGGCGGATTTCACGATGAAAAGGCAGCCCATTGGAAATTAAGTGAGAGATGGTCAGTGGTATCACCTGTATCACCTGTCGTCCCGTTGATCGCTCGATTTGCTCGAGCGGGCGCCAGCAACGTCTCCATTCGTCCCTGTCGCGTGCTAGAGGGTCCAGTGGATCCTCCTTGCTCGAGGGACACGAAGTCCATCATTCCTTTCGTTCAGAGCTTTCGTGAAGAAGTCTGACCATCGGGCCGGCGGTCGTCCAGGTGTTCGTTTGACGTCCCGAGGGATCCAGTCGGTAACCGCTCTGGTCCAACGGTCATCGCAAAATCGCATGACGTGTCCGGCCCACCTTATCTTCGATTCCTTGGCGAAAACGGCAGCGTCCCTGATCTTCGATCGTTGGCGTAGTTCGGCACTCCGGATTCCCCTCTGCACTTGCGTGTATAGGGTTACTCCTAGCATCGTCCTCTCGACAGCGCGTTGGATAACGCTGACCGCATGCTCGTCCTGCCTGCGCAGAGTCCAAGTCTCTGAGGCGTAGGTTAGGGCAGGAAGGACAGCGGAATCGAAGAGGTGGGCACGGAGCCGGATGTTCTTCGTCTTCTTCACTACTCCCTCGATGTTCTTAAATGCTAACTTCATGCCATACATTATATGACGCACAATTAAAACGCCACTTCTACACTTTTTAGGAGAAGCAGTGGTACACGACCCAAGATAGAAAAATCAGAGAAAACCGGTTTAGAACGTGGGTGGAAAGTGGACGATTTCTTGCCCACTTACTTCGGCAATGAAAATGCGAATCTCATCGGTGTCTGCCTCTTCACCGCTAACTGCTCTCTTGCAAATTCTAGAAGCCAATAGCGAGAGTGGGGCGTTCCACACCGATATTGCGCCAATAGCGCCGCGCGGAAGGCTTATAATAAGTCGCCGGGGGCCACGATGCGAATCCCGCGTCGGTCCGTACCCTTACGAGGTCCACCTATCTCCTAAGGTAAAGTTTCTCCCTATTGGACCTTCGTTTTTGCCGTGTAATCCTCTTTTGTGAGCTCGAATGCCCTCCGATCCCAAAAATGAGCAATTCAGAAAATAACTGTGTTCTCGATTGAAGGCGTGCACAGCAATTGAGTTCCCATTGAATGTCAAGGAAACTCTTGCTAGCTACCCAGATAAATAAATTTAAAGTTTAAGTTTGCGTGGTTTCATTTTCTACATCCAATTTTTCCACATCCTTCATCTAGACTTCCTTATTATTCTGTGTAAGCACAGAATAGCTAGGAATAACAGTGTACTATAAATCATTAGTTTACACTATTCGTCTCTACCGAATAATAACAGCATTATGACATACACGCCATTCATTACTTTACAGCCATAGTACATATTATTAGGCGCTGGGTATCGATAAGAACGATCATCACCGACACGTTCTGATATCACTTCATCACATAAACCACAACTTTTCTATGTTGGGGTGTCAATTTGCGCAGCTCCTGTCTCGCTGTCGGAGCAGTCTGTTCTGGAGGTCACCGCACTGGTAGAAGCCAATGTTGAGTTATTTCCTGGGTACTTCGCGGGATGTCAGCAAAACATTGTGGGCACGGCTTATCCACGCGACTTGTACCAAGTCTGGTTCGTAGACCCGCCTACTCAGACAGCGAGATATGGGCTGTAGGACGATTCGCACGTATTTCGGTCTATCCGTCTACAAAATGAAGACAGCTAGATTGAATAAAGCTAACCGCTAACAATAAGACAACTTAGGATAGGAGGTCCAAGTCTTGCAACATCAATGCTTCGTGATGTTGATGTCATGAACGGGATAACACCCACAACGGCTATATAAACACCGACCGAACACACTCCCGATCATTTCACATGGGGCTGTCGTGGCAGCTGGAGAACAGGGAAGGTTAGCTGGGCAGAGCAGAGAGTGGAAAAACCAACCGATTATGGGACCAAAAGGGTGGTCTTTCAAGCCGCGCTTTTTCGAAACGGTTTTTGCATATTGTAGGGACGCATGTAGGGAACACAAAACCATGTTTCATTTTCGCTGAACGGTTTTAGCAGTACCAAAAAAGAAGCATAAGGTACTGTTAATGGTTCGATCCCCGTGGCGACTAAATTTTGCATTTGGGTTGGCGCCTACGGTTGGTGCCAAATCGCGCTAAATGTCAAAATCAGATGTCATATTCATCGTCAGGACCATTTTGAAGCCAACAAGTGGCCGCCAACCTTGATTGCAAAATTTAGTCGCCGCGGGGATCGAACCATCAAGGGTATCATTCACCACTTTTTTGGTACTACTAAAACCGTTCAGCGAAAACGAAACATGGTTTTGTGGTCCATACATGCGTCCCTACAATATGCAAGAAACCGTTTCCAAAAAGCGCACCTTGCCCTGAAAGACCTCCCTTGTAAGTTCTGAATCAGTGGTGA